AGTTGATCGGTAGTAGAGAGGGTCGATGGAGCGAGATCGAAAAGGCGGGTAAAAAGGGGGGCAGTTGAAGAGCGTTGGAAACGGCCCAACATCCAGACAACGTGAAATAACATTTTCAATATTCGGCGGAAGCTTGGGCGCGGATGGGAACTCGAACTTTTGCTCGAGCGTTCGTTTGATTTTTAATTCGATACGAGGCGAGTTGGAGTGTTGCCGTGCGAGGAGGCCGGCCGTTGGCGCAGTGTCGTCATCCTCCCTCCAGATTTTTCAGACCCGCGCAACTTTTAGTTTCGGGAACGAGAAGAGAGAAACGGGGAGAGGGGGGATCGAACGAGGGAATAGGACGCGGTTGAAAATTCTTCGCGAAGACCGGTCACGAACTGCGAGATCGATACTAAACCACTTTGATACCGACCACGAAAGAGGTTAAAGTTTTCCAAGGGATGGAAGAGGACAAGTAGATGCGCCGATACGTGGAATTCTCGATCGAAGCGAAGAACACGGGTGTGCAACAGAGTTTCTATCGTTAAGAGGGGAGGAGAGAAAGGGGGTGAAATCCAGTTCTAACCTCCTTACTTTCGTCGAAAGTAGCGGTTACTCCGTCCCCCGATAAGCAATTTTAATTTCACCCCTTTGGGGATCACGTGTCCGTAATTATCGACATCCTTGGGAGTCGACTAAGAAGTTTTTCCAGCGGCCAGGAAAAGCCGATATTTCTCCCAAATATCGATTGGTCGAATCTCTCGATTCGAAGAGAATCTCGCGAAAGAAATATTTTTCTTTAAACCAATTTCTCCCCCGCGCTTATTGCTACTTTCCACGATTCCTTTCCCGGAATCATAAAACTCGGCTTCGCGATGAAAACATGCCGAGATTCTCTTCGGAATTCGTAACGTCATCCTCGAGGACGCGGAAGAGCCTCGAAGAGAACTGTCCTAGAACGTAATTTGCATTCTAACTCTAAGGATAATAATCGTAATGCCATCACTCGTCGTCGCGTTCAATTTGTATCCCGAATTGAAAAATTCTTGAAACTCGAGCCGTTGAGAAAGCGACCGCGTAGCGAGAGGAATACGGAATCAGGAGGGGACGCGAGAGAGAAGGTGGAATAAAGAGATGGGGAGGGGGTGGGTGGGTTTGAAGGGTGAAACAACTAAGGAGCGAAGGAAAGTCGTCGAAGGAGGATAAATTCATCGAAGTGGATAACTGCATTGTGCCAGAAACACTGCAGGAACACATCCGATTATTGGGAAGACGGGATTTCGGCATTTCTTTACCGTTTGGCCAGATGCCAGGGGATGTTGTTTCCTGTCGTCGGGGGCCGCTGGCTCGGAAGAATCGGTTCGGTTATTGAAATAATGCACTTTTATTGCTCGTCCAAAATCGCTGGTGGCGTGCAGCTACCTTTGACCTTCCTACGTACGCGAGATATACATATATATATGTAGCAAACGCAGAAAGAGAGGAAGAGAGAAGGAGAGAGAGTTACGAGGTGGAAAAGTACGTGGGTGTAATAAAGCTCGGGAAATACCGCGTAATGTGGCTTTCACGAGGCGAGCTACACGAGGTCGAATTATGCACGCTCAACTTTATTCCTCGATGGCCCGAGATTCGTGGAGCATCGTGCTCGCTTTTTGTCTTCTTATCCGTGGCGAAGTTCTCCAGCTTCTTCTTTGGAAGAAGAATTCTCGTGGCCGGAATGCGGTTTCCGGCAACGAATAACCTCCCTCGTCGACTCCTTGGAGCAATATCGAGGCGAGGCGAGCTCTTAGAAGGGAAGAGCGTACCGGGGGCCGAGATTACCGTAAAGATTCGATATAGAGAACGATCAGCTTTGGAGACCTTCCCTTCCCGTCCCGATATCGATGATTCCGGAACGTTTCGCGGTTTCCAACAGAATTCCATTAGTGTTTCTCGACTTTTGAACGACGCCTGTTCGAGGATGAGAACCCCTCTCCGGGATTCTCGTGCTTAACTCGCCTCGATTCCTTACTTCGTTCGTGACTCGAATTTTTCTCGTGATTTTTCCTCCCTCCCGGGAGGGAAGAAGGATTTTATTTTCGAAATTTCGTTTAAAATAATCAACCGCTATTATTATTATTATTATTATTATTATTATTATTATTATTATTATAGAGGGTTTTGGAAAGAAGTCGAAGGAATAAGGGGAAGCTTCGTTCTCTCTCAAGTTTGTTCTCATCGCTGCGAATAAAAGTGATGGAACGCGGCGACGGATACAATGGTCCCGGCCATAAAGCGTAATTCGTGTAACATCGTAGATCGGGAATATAATTTGGCTGGCAAAGATAGAGATTTCGTGGCGTGGTCAGTTCTGACGTAATATCTCGCGTCGGTAGATTATACGAACAATGTGGGGTTTGCGTTTGGGTGGACGGTTGGATTAAAGAGAAATTAATGAGAAGCCGAGGCTGTGCAAAAACGAGTAATAATGGGCACGTGAATTATAACGTGGCCCAGGGAAACGAGCTCGTGATATTCTCCCTTGGCAAATATTTTAGATCGATTTTTTTTTTTTTTTTTCCG